CACAGAGGCTTCAGTGTAGCCTGTTCTGAAAGTTACTCCGTGAAGTTAAAGGCTGGGGTTTGAACAAATAAGAGAAAGCCATCCAGAAAATAAACAAGCTACACTGAAGCCACCTGTAGAGACGAAGAGTTGTGCTGCCTGTTTTTTAGAGATTTTGCGACTTTATTAACAACCAAGAAGAGCTGCAACATCCTTTACAACCAAGAAGAGCTGCAACGTCATTAGAGTGGGGGCTGCACCAGGGCAGGGAGCGCCTAGACCTCCATGAAGGAATGTGCTGGAACTGGCCATGAGGGATCTTTCATTTCTGGGGAGCAGTGCTCACTGTTCTGTCTTTTTTTTTTTTTTAATCCTCACAGAGGACATGCCTTTATTTTAGAGAAAGAGGAAGGGGGCAGGAGAGAAACAGGAACACCAATGTGAGAGAAACATCAATCTGTTGCCTCCCACACTCACCCTGACCAGAGATCAAACCCAAACCCGAGTATGTGCCCTGATCAGGAATCGAACCCACGACCTTGTGGTGTATGGAATGATGCTCCAACAACGGAGCCACCCGGCCAGGGCTGTCCTGTCCTTGACAGTCACCATAAGGAGAGTTATGAGGAAGGAGACTGTATTATCACCTCATCGTGGGTGCGGGACCCAGAGGGAAAGCTTGCTCCTCAGGAGGTCAGGGGGCCCGAGTCCTGCTCATATGTCCCCGGGGAATTCTGAGGGTCGATGCCCCATGGCAGCCGATGACAAAAGCTCTCAGCATCGACAACAGGCACCAGGAGCCGGTGCAGGGAGGGAGCCTCTCCCAGGCCCATGACGAGGCTGTGATCCTGAACACGCCCCTCCCTTGTCCTGAGCCTCAGTTTCCCCACCTTCACCCTGGGTGGCTGACAAGGGGAATCTCAGAAGCAGCAGAAACTCTGCAGGTGAAGAGCCTGTGCACCAGGACAGGAAGAAAAGTGAGGGACCCCTTCTTATAAAGCCCCCCCACGGAGAATGAGGAGAGGCGGACGCCGTGGCTTCAGGTACAAGTCCTAATTCACCCCTGAGAGTCCCCACGTTCTGAATGAGCTCCCCAACTTCAAACTGAGAAGTTACTAGCTCCGGGGATGCGGGCAAGGTTCCAACAAGCACTTCCTAAGATGCAGCCAGGGGCAGGCTGGGATCCGGCAGCCGAAGTCCTGCCCACCCACCTGTGACCCGGGCACAACCCCCACCATCAAGGCCATCAGCCACACGGTCCCCACTCGCCCCACCTGTGTCCTCCAGGTCCCTGATCTTCCCATGTACCCCGAAGGTGCCCCAGCCGGTCACCAGCGCTTCATTCCAGAGATGCGCATTAATGAGTCAGGAGCTTGCTCTGAGAGTGTCACAGGGGCCCCCGTCTCCGCAGGGGATGTTCATGGCCTCCCGAGGCAGATAGGCTCACGTTGAACTTGTGGCAGGCGACCTGAGCCACTTTGTGCAGCTGGTCATGGTCGCAGAGCTTCACTTGTCCAGTTTGGACCTTGCATTTCTGTGGCTTCAACACATCCCTGGGAGGGAGGAC